GATCGACTGGATCATCGCTGTTCGTCGCCAGCTGAGCGCTCGGTTGGAGCAGGACCCCCAGGTCCTGCGACTGCACTCTGACAGAGGCGGTGAGCTTTCCTCAGACTTCCTTTGGGACATTTGTCGTGCGGAGGGCATCCGCCAGACGTTCACGCTTCCGGTCTCTCCAAAGCAGAATGGGATTGCTGAGCGCCGCAATGGCTTAGTCATCGACGTTGCTCGCACCTCCATGATCCATGCGGCTGCTCCCCATTTTCTCTGTCCGTTTGTGGTCCGATACGCCGCGCATCAGCTCAACCTCTGGCCCCGTGTCTCTCTGCCAGAGACCTCGCCTACACTGCGTTGGACGGGGGAGGTTGGCGATGCGTCGGCGTTTCGGGTCTGGGGCGCGCTCTCCCTTGTTCGCGATACCACCGCGAGCAAGCTCTCTCCTCGCACTCTCCGCTGCGTCTTCCTTGGCTTCCCCACCGACACCCCGCCCTGGCAGTTTTACCACCCTGTCTCGCGCCGAGTCCTATCTTCACAGGACGTCACCTTTGACGAGTCGGTCTGCTTCTACCGTCTCCACCCGCACACGTCTTCCCCGATCTCCCCGCCGCCCCTCTTCCTAGTCCCAGGTCCTCCTCCGGTAGACCCCTTCCCCCCGCAGGGTCCTGCTCCCTCTGGTGTGTCTCAGGTCGACCCACCCCCCTTGGTTGAGCCTTTCGAGGTCTCCTCTGACACCTCTGGCCCAGCTGAGGGGGGTGACCCCGCGGCTGACGACACGGCGACGACTCGCCGCTCCCCGCGCTTGGAGACCCCTCCTAGTTTTCCGCCTCGGCCGTCTTCGCCGCCTCCGCAGCCTGTCGCTGTGGGCTCTGGTGGTTCTAGGGGTGCTGAGGCTGGGGGTGCCGGTTCGGGGGGTGCTGAGTCTGGGGGTGCCGGTTCTGGGGGTGCTGAGTCCGGGGGTGCTGGTTCTGGGGGTGCTAGAGCTGTTGGTGCTGGAGGTGCTGCAGGTACTGGAGCTGCTGGTGCTGGAGGTGCTGGAGCTGGAGGTGCTGGAGGTACTGGAGCTGGAGGTGCTGGAGGTGCTGGAGCTGCTGGTGCTGGAGGTGCTGCTGGTGCTGGAGGTACTGGAGCTGCTGGAGCTGGAGGTGCTACTGGTGCTGGAGGTGCTGGAGCTGCTGGTGCTAGAGGTACTGGAGCTGGAGGTGCTAGAGGTATTGGAGCTGGAGGTGCTGGAGGTGCTAGAGCTGCTGGTGCTGGAGGTGCTGGAGCTGCTGGTGCTGGAGGTGCTGGAGCTGGAGGTGCTGGAGGTATTGGAGCTGGAGTTGCTGGAGGTGCTGGAGCTACTGGTGCTGGAGGTGCTAGAGCTGCTGCTGCTGGAGGTGCTGGAGCTGCTAGTGTTGGAGGTGCTGGAGCTGCTGGTGCTGGAGGTGCTGGAGCTGGAGGTGCTGGAGGTGCTAGTGCTGGAGGTGCTGGAGCTACTGGTGCTGGAGGTGCTGGATTTGGAGGTACTGGGCGTGCTGGAGATGGAGCTGCTGGAGCGGCTGACGGTACGGGTACTGTGCCGCGCCGACCGTTTTTCTACCCGCAGCCGCAGTCGTCCCTGCCACCACCTGACTCGGCCCTTCGCCAAGTTCTTAGTCTCCCGTCTTCCACTGGCCTCACTCCACCTCTTCTGTGTCCACCGACAGACCAGTCTCAGCCACAGCTACTGCCTGGCTCCCCACTGCCTGCTCCTGCTCCTCACACTGAGGTGACTGCATCCCTGACTGTGCGTCGTGAGCCTGAGACTCGTGCTTCCACACCTGTTCGTGCTCGTCGTGTCCCACGTCCTCGTCCTCCTGTTGTCCCAGGCACTCACGCTATGGAACTTCGTCCTTCCTCTGTTCCACAGCGTGTTGCCCTGCCGTCTCCTCCTGCGTCCTCTCTTCCTGGCGTTCTTGACCCTGAGTCCGACCTTGCTCGTGCTGCCAGTCCTACTGCCACTCGTCTCCTCTCTACTGTCGTCTCCTCGCTACTGCTGCGTTTGCCCTAGTCACTGAGCTAGTCGACTTTGCTGCTAGGAGTCTTCTCGACTACGTCGCGAGTCTTGTTACTGAGTCTGAGTCAGTCTGTCCTCCGTCCGTCGGGGGTGAGCTTGCCCTTGGCTGTGACGTCCTTGAGGACAGGTAGTTTGAGCTTGAGTGTCTCGCGGTCGCTTTACCTCGTTTCGCATCCATGCTGCTTTGCCCTGAGGGAGACCCGGATGCACTTGACATCCCCACCCCGCGCTCTTACGGAGAGGCGATCACAGGTGAGTACTCGTCTCAGTGGCAGACAACCATGGATGCAGAGATGGCTTCCTGGAAGTCCACAGGCACCTACGTCGACGAGGTTCCCCTTTCTGGGGCGAACATTGTCGATGGCATGTGGATTTTCAGAGTGAAGCGGCCGCCGGGTTCTCCGCCTGCCTTCAAGGCGCGTTACGTGACCTCGCGTACCCTCTCAGCACCTGCCTCGCTTCGTCGCCCCCGGGCGACACAGGAAGGACCACTGGACAGCTGTGCAGAGGGTACTGCGTTACTTGTGCAGTACATCGAGCAAGGGGCTTGTGCTTGGAGGACGGGGTCCAGTCGTACTCACAGGACACTCCGACGCTTCTTGGGCTGACGACCAGCAGGGCCTACGTTATCATAAATATTTTGTCTGTTTGTCTGGATTTCAGACACGTTTTTTATGGTTCATCTGATGGCCTAGACATGTCGTTTAAACTCATCTGATGTTTAAGACAATGTGTTTGTATTTATCTGAATTATTAGACATCCTTATACAGTTCGTCTGAGACTGCAGATATCGAGTCTTTTCTCGTCTGAGTGCAAAATTTTCGCTGACCAGAAAGATGATCCACCTGCCTGGTAGAGTCAGGCGACAAGATTCGAATCCGGAATTTTCATTTTTATAAGTCCCGATTCTACCGACTGAACCATTAGAGGCCGGACGTTTCTTGTAATTACATCTATACTAATTATAATGATAATATTGCTTGCTAGCTATATATCTTCATCTGAAATCTCAGACAAGTACTTACGATTCGTCTGAAAAGCTAGACAATGTTACATCTTTCGTCTGACAATCAGAAAAGGAGCCAGGACCCGGTCTTAAAGCCAGACGGGTCATTTTACTAAAGTTAGCCCTGACGACCAGGCGACTCAGCGGTCGTCCCAGGGTTACTCCTCCAGTCTCGGCCCTGGTTCTGTCTCGTGGAGGTCCACTCGTTCGTCTTCTCTGCTTGGTTCCAGCTGTGAGGCCGAGATCTACGCTGGGGCCATGGGTGCACAGGAGTTACGTTAGCTGGCCTACCTGCTGACCGACTTGGGTGAGCGGTCTCGTTCTCCTCCAGTTTTGTACGTTGTGTCGGGAGCAGAGACTGGAGCACAGAACGAAGCACATTGCTCTTTGTTACTTTCTTGCGCGGGAGCTGCAGCAGCGTGGTCAGCTGCGCTTTGCTAACGTGGCCTCTCGGGCCAACACTGCTGATGTGTTTACCAAGGCCCTTGGGTCTGGTAATCATCAGCGTTTCTGCACTGCTCTAGGCCTTGTGCCTACTTTGCCTCACCTGCTTGTCTCTTGATCTTGTCTTGTATAGTGATCTAACTATATATACCTGCAGGCTTGTTCTTGCTAGGTTGTGATCACTGTACTGCTTGTACTTTTATAACTCTGCATGTGAACTGGCCTTGTGGCCGCTTGCGTGTGCTCGGAGTGCGTGGTATCCTTGATATCCACCCTGAGCTTTGCTTTGTTTGCCTCTTTTGACTGGTTTTGTGACCATCTGATTGTCCCCCACTTAGCCTATGGGGGTGTGTCAAATTACAATTCTACTTGCTAGGCTATAGTGGGGTACTCTCTACGGTGTACAACCCCAATTAGGGTTAGCTATACAACCCTGTACTGTCCACATTCTATTCATTCTTACGTTCCTACTTCTTACACTCATATGGTTGCACACCCCTGGTAATGAGAGTAGTGTGGGTTTCGATGAATACGCGGGGAACGTGTCGCAGAGCTGGTTGCCCGAGGAGATGGGGAGGAGGGAGGAGAGGGGTCAAGAGGAAGTCTTTACGGAGAGGAAGAGGGAGGTGGTGAGTGTCAAATAACATTTATATGTTTTGTTAGTTTGCTAGGCTATAGTGAGTTGCCTAGTATAGGGTACACAAATTCCCTCGATATTCCTACTTGTACCTCTTGCCCTACTAGTCGACCAACCTATTCCGCTAGTACTTTGAGAGTGAGGCACTGCCAGGCCTGGCAGAAGGCAGGTAGGGAGCCTTTGAGCTTGTCGCACGAGAGGTCCAGGTGGGACAAAGCGGGAACAAGAGTGAGCGAACGGGGCAGCAAACCCGAGCGCCGGTTGCTTTATAGGTTGGAGCACGCAACCAAGAAGTCACGCAAGCGAGGAGGCGAGGAGGGGGGGAATGAGGCCGGAGCGGAGGTTGTATGTCAGATCCACGTCAGGGTTGTACGTACGTGACAGACATGAGGTAAGGAAACCAGAAAGCTGGTTGTGGCGGAGGCTGAGCAGAGTAAGGCAGTGCGTTTACTGTCTCTCTAAATGGGATATGGATGCGGCCTGCGAGCTGGAATTTGTCAGATCAGAGGGCTGGTGGCGATGAACGCAATGAAGGTCCCAAATGTGTTTAGGAATTCGAAGGGGCCATATACGGTTGCGAAGGGCACAAGAGATTGTTGCTGCCCAGCCGAAACTAGACACTGAGAGTAAACCTGAGTAAATCAACCAAAACATTCATTAAGTGCTAATAAATATATTATGGAAGTCTGGACATTTCCTAGATCTACTCGTACATGCGAAATTGAACAAGCGTAAACTGCAACTACTGCTCTTCACAGACTGTCAGTTTTGAAAACCTGTGACTCTGCTAAGCATGTGCGGGTAGGGGGATGTTTGACGCCACTAATGTAAGTGCCTGTCACTTGTGACTCTTGTGTCTATCGCTCCGTGTCACCGTATCCATTGATTACATCGCTGCTTCCGCATCCTCGCCAAGATACTCCTGATCGTCCTCCGTGCTGGCCTCCTGGTACTGCTGGTACTCGCTCACCAGGTCGTTCATGTTGCTCTCCGCCTCAGTGAATTCCATCTCGTCCATGCCCTCGCCCGTGTACCAATGCAAGAAAGCCTTGCGCCGGAACATGGCCGTGAACTGCTCGCTCACGCGCTTGAACATCTCCTGGATGCTCGTGCTATTGCCAACGAAGGTAGACGCCATCTTCAGGCCGCGGGGAGGAATGTCGCACACGGAGGACTTCACGTTGTTGGGAATCCATTCCACGAAGTACGACGAGTTCTTGTTCTGGACGTTCAGCATCTGCTCGTCAACCTCCTTGGTGCTCATCTTCCCGCGGAACATGGCGGACGCGGTCAGGTAGCGGCCGTGTCTGGGATCAGCGGCGCACATCATGTTCTTCGCATCCCACATCTGCTGGGTCAGCTCAGGGACGGTCAGAGCGCGGTACTGCTGAGAGCCGCGGGACGTCAGGGGAGCGAAGCCGACCATGAAGAAGTGCAGGCGAGGGAAGGGAATGAGGTTGACGGCGAGCTTGCGCAGGTCCGAGTTCAGCTGGCCAGGGAAGCGCAGGCAGCAGGTGACGCCGCTCATGGTCGCCGAGATCAGATGGTTGAGATCACCGACTGCACGACAAACAAATGCGAGTCAGAATACAGCCCGATGCTGGTCGACGACATTAAGGATTCGATTGCTGATTTTTTATCGGTTCCACACGGAAATGCCTGAGACTTACAGCTGGGGTTAGCGAGCTTCAGAGTGCGGAAGCAGATGTCATAAAGCGCCTCGTTGTCCAGGACCATGCACTCGTCGGCATTCTCGACGAGCTGATGCACGGAGAGAGTGGCATTGTAAGGCTCCACGACTGTGTCTGACACCTTCGGCGACGGGAACACGGAGAAGGTCAGCATCATGCGGTCGGGATACTCTTCCCGGATCTTGGAAATGAGGAGGGTACCCATTCCAGATCCCGTGCCACCACCGAGGGAGTGGCACACTTGGAAGCCTGCAAGCAACGAATATAATCAGAATAGATTTGTCAGTTACGTACAACAATGGATTCTACGAGTAAAATGATATCGTGAGTCTGAGTCGCAGAATGAAAGCTAAGAAGTTTTGAAGATGAGAATGTACCTTGTAGGCAATCGCAGTTCTCGGCTTCCTTGCGGACGACATCGAGGACCGAGTCGATCAGCTCGGCACCCTCAGTGTAATGACCCTTGGCCCAGTTGTTGCCAGCACCGGATTGTCCGAAAACGAAGTTGTCAGGACGGAAAACCTTGCCGTAAGGGCCAGAGCGGACACTGTCCATCACACCAGGCTCCAAATCCTGGAAGAGAATAACCATAAAGTTCTTAGAACGTCTTCCAACAACTAAGCATATGTGCTGCTGACTCAATCGTAAGTCACTGTGTTCGCTGAAGTACTGAGGAGGAAACCGGGCTTTACCATGAGGATGGCGCGAGGGACATAGCGTCCACCGCTGGCCTCGTTGTAGTACACATTGACACGCTCCAACTGCAGCGGGGAGTCTCCCTTGTAGTTACCCAAAGAGTCAATGCCGTGCTCCTCACAGATGACCTCCCAGAACTTAGCACCGATCTGGTTGCCGCACTGGCCACCCTGGATGTGGAGGATTTCCCTCATGTTGACTGTGGAGAAACAAAAGATGAGGGAAGGGAGCTAAGATTACCAGGCTAAGCACGCAGATGGAAGTGGTTGTGGTGCTGCTGAAGGGCTCTTGCTGGGTAAAATGTGAAAATGAGCTGGCTTTATCAGATTGAGGTCTTCCCAGATTCCTCTGGACAGTGCTGTTGGTGAGATTTCCCTCCTGGCTTTGGTTTGGCAGGTCCTGGCGGGCCCCGATCGAGTCCCGAGCCGAAAGAGTTGTGTTGTGATGACAGAGCGTCACCGCCTGTCATTGGCGGGATTCTTGCAGAGTAGACCTGGTCGGCCTGCAGAGGGGTGATTGCGTTGTCGCACGCACGCGATTCGGGCTACCCCACGTGGAAACGGAAGCATGCGAAGAACATCTGCGAGACTCACGGTGGCAGAGTGGGCGTGGGCGAAATCTCATGGAGTGGTGAGTTTCGCAAGTTCTGTGCAGCCGTTGGAGTCTGCGACGTTTTTTAACAACGTGGCATGGATATTGCGTTGACGCCTCGGGAGGGCCGGAATTCGAGGGTGGACAGCGCACTTTCCTGATCCTCATCGTAGATCTCAGATTTCTGACCGAGTGTCAGAGTTTCGCGCTTTCAAGATGGCGGGAAGTGGGATATGCAAAGTAATTTAACCATCCGATTGGACAAAAGAATGAAAGACGTGCCGCTCGTTCAACTGACTGGTCTTTAAGCCACCGTGGATTGCGTTGGCTGCCTCTCACAAACTCGTCAATCCAATGGTTGGGGACCAGCCAGGTCAGCCATTACTTTGCTTGGTCTTGGCTGACGCCCGAAGACAAACATGTCTATGCACGACTTCTAAACAGGCTCGATATAATACGTATACAAAAGACACTTAATACAGCTCAATAAACTCTTGTTTTCTTTCATTACTGACAAGTGCTATTATCATATGACATACTAGACCATGTGGCTTAAAGTATTTTAAAGTGTGATCCATAATCACCCGGTTTCACTTTTCACCCGGAAAAAATCACTAAAAGGCACAAATACAATCCAGAACAGAACAAATGCTTGTGAGGCATTAAAGTCCTTCCTCCACCTTTATTGTAGTACTTCTAGATGATGACAAATGGCTTCACCAATTAAGGCCCAGCTCCGGTTTCTACCGCGTATGTATGTGTCGCCATCCTCGTCTTTCTGTTCTGTCAAACATTTTCCCGTTTGCCCTTGAATTCCGCCACAACCCTTGAGTTCTGCACAGGAACACAACTCTTGTAATTATGCATTCACTGTTGTCCTAATTTCCGAAATAATCTCACATCACGCACCCCAGCGCCACTCTATTCGCGTCGCCACGTGTCATTCATGCCATCGAATCACAAGGAGAGGCGACGCCACGCTGCTTATGAGCATCACCGTTGTGCTTATCCGCGTCCCTTCACTTAAACACCAGCAGCGTAACGTTGCGCTTAGGAGCATCTTCCAATGGCCGATCGCCCGCATCGCGCGGTCATAATCTTCGGCGACGGGCTGCTCATCGACGGCCCGCCTCCGGCGTCGCGTTCAGCGGAGCCTTCGTCGCGAATCTCCGCATCTGCCGCGCAGCGAACGCGAACGCCTCTGGAGACGGTCGACGCGCCCGCGCTGCACCGCGTGGCGGCTGACGGCGTGTCCGGTCTCCTGGCTCTCAGACAGCTCCCCTCACATGGTCCGCCACCGCCGCCACCGCCGCCGCCGCCGCCGCTGCTGCTGCTGTCTGCACTGAATTCGTTTCTCATCCATTTTCCCCGCCTCGTTACCTTCTCTTAAACGAGTCTTAATCATGTCCTAGCTCTTCGTGGCAGAGCAATTCCCCATGCGGCCATGTCCCCATGACGGCCAAAGTGCTTCCACAAGCCCATGCGCTCTAACACAGACAGGATGCATGGCACAGGCACAGACCAGTCCCCATGCCGCCTCATGCATCCATCCATCACTACAGAACCCGTGCCACACAATCCTCCCTCCCATGTCCGCGTGTTCACATGCCTCCCTTCTCCGCTTCCCCATGCCTGCCCCCTACCGCTCCCCCTGCCCGTGCTGCGCGCCTGCTCCTCTGGCAGTGAGTGAGGAGCAGCGGGAGGCGTTGGAGCTGGCGCAGCTACTGGACATATTCCACTGCGCGCACGCCCCCCTTCCGCAGGTGCGCTGCTGCTCCCCTCCTGCCGCACCTGTCCTTCTCCGCCCTCTCCCTCGCCACTCTCTCCCCTCGTACCCTCAGCTGCCCACCTCGCCGCCGCTCTCGTTCTCCTCTCTGCTGAAACCCTGTGCGTGCGGGGCTGATTTGGCGCTGCCCTCTGCTGAGAGAACCCTCCAGCCCCCGCCTTCAGCTTTCCTGTCTACCTCTTGCTTATGTGGTTGTATCTGCATGTGTGTGTGCATGTGTGTATGTGTGTGTGCATGTGTGTGTGCATGTATGTGTGCACATGTTTGTGCATGTGTGTCTGCATGTGTGTGTGCACATGTGTGCGCATGTGTGTGCATGTGTGTCTGCATGTGTGTGCGCATGTGTGTGCATGTGTGTGTGCATGTGTGTGTGCATGTGTGTGCATGTGTGTGCATGTGTGTGCATGTGTGTGCATGTGTGTGCATGTGTGTGCACATGTGTGTGCATGTGTGTGCACATGTGTGTGCATGTGTGTGCACATGTGTGTGCATGTGTGTGCATGTGTGTGCATGTGTGTGCATGTGTGTGCATCCGCACACTGCCACCCATCCGCAGGACGCTGGGAGCACCACACACCCCAGCGACCCCACCAACCCCACCAACCCCACCACCGCTGCTGCTCCCTCCGCTCCTCACATCTCATGGGAAACCAATCCCACACCTATGTCTGAACGGTACGCCTCCCATTATCAATCTCTTGCAGCTGTTGGTATGCTATGCGTGGTGCCTATGCCTACTGCACATTGTGCATTCTCTTCATTCGATTGGATCTGTTGTTTCACCTCCTTCTCCACTCGCCTTTTAACCTTGTCTCCCACCTTCGCCTCCCCACCTCACTTCCCCCCTTCCCCTCCTCACCTCACCATACCACTTTGCCTCCCCTCCTCGCCTCCCTCCCTCGCCTCCATTGGCTCCTCACCGTTCCCAATTTCCTCCCCGTTTCGCCTCCCCGCTCTCCCGCCCTTGCAGCTTCATGGGCATGGAGGCGGCGTTCGTCACCTCCTCCCCAGTCTCGCTTGCCCTCGCCCGCACCGCTGGCTTCCGCACTACCCGCCTCAACCGCACTGCACTCCCCTCCACTTCCCACCACCTCCTCGTCACGGGTGAATCCGATGACCTCTCTCCCACTTCAGCAGCAGAAGGCAACGCAGATGCAGGAGGAGACGAGGCAGCTGGGGCAGCAGTAGCAGCAGCGACAGCAGTAGCAGAAGGGGAAGGAGTAGCAGCAGCAACAGCAGGAGCAGCGCCTGACCCATCAGTGCTGGCAGCGCGGATAGTGGCGGCGCTAGGGCTGCACAGGGAGGAGGTGCCGGGGCCTCCCCCCAGCGCTGCAGAGAGGGAGGCAGGCGAGGTGGACCTCCTGCTGCTGCACGTGCGCCCTGCTGACGTCGCCCCATGGGGCGGCAGCGCTGGGGAGAAAATCGCTGGTGGCTTGCCAGAAGCTACAGGAGAAGCAGGGATGGGAGGGGCAGGAGCAGGAGGTGCGGTGACAGGTGCAGGCAGGGGCGAGGGTGGCGCTATGGAAGGGCAGGTGTGGGGGCAGGCAGAGCAGGCGATTCAGTGGGTGGACTCGCTAGTGGCGGAGCTGTTGAGATGGCGGGATGGCAAGGCACGCAAGGGGGAGGAAGGCGAGGGAGAGGAGGGGAGTGGTAGCGAGGGAACAGCAGTGTCCAGCGATGTGCCCTCCTACTTGCCCCTGCGAGCACAGAACCACCTGTACCTTGCCGTGGTGCTGGGATACGGGGATCAGGGCAACCAGCAGGTGCCTCCTGCTGCTGCTGCTGCTGCCCCAGAGCAGTCAACCGATGCACCCTGGTCGCCCGTTCCCCTGCGCTCTCTTCCCATTTTCGTACCGCCGCTCTCTGCTGCTGCTGCTGCTGCTGCTCCTGGTGCCTCCGCGAGTGACTCTGTGCCGTGTGTGCCCCGCGTGCCCTTTGTGCCGCGGCAGAGCTATGAGCTGCGGGGAGACGAGCCTGTGGAGGCCATCCGGTACGCCTTCATGCCACTTCTCATTGCTTCTGCCTCGGCACACATTGCTTCTCATTGCTTCTCGTTGCTTCTCAAGTGTTATCTGACGTTTGCGCCCGTGGTATCATGTCCGTGCCTCCTTTCCCCGCTCTTGAATGCTCCGCTAGTCTTATAATCCCATACCGACCTCATTTCTCCTCCATGTCCCTACCCCCCACCTCCCTGGCCATACCTGTCCTGAACGTTGTTCCCGCACTGGATGGCATCTGTTCGGGTCGGTGCAGGCGCCACCACCCTCTGCTGGTGACCCGCCATCTGCCTGCTGTCACGCGCTGCGATGAGGCGACACGATTCGGCATGCAAGAGTGCATACAGGTGTGTGGCATGGAGTGGCATGGGTTGGCATGGGTTGGCATGGGTTGGGAGGGAGTGGCATGTTGTGGGCCAGTTTCACCACACAATGTTTAATTGAGAAGGTGCGCAGCGCCTCTCCATTATATGCTCGTGCACAACCACATACATGCTAAGTATGGGCATGGAATGGGACGGGAAGCACCGGAAAGCCTAAACTGAGAGTGGGCTTCGTCTGCATGATTTGTTGATGCTTCCATGGCTGAAATTTGACGCCCCCTGTTATCTGTGCATTGCTTGTAGAATGGCGGAGACCGGGCCATCTTGGCAGATCGCTTCATATATGAGATAGCATTCAAGCTGTGGAGGTATCCTAAGTATGGAGCTTAAACATTCTTTAATCAGCTTTCATGTATGTACGACCCACGTTCTATGTCAACGTGACAACACAAATATTAATACATCCTTTCATCAGAGCCCTTTTGTGACGGATAGGTTTGTGGCGGAAAACAAGTTGTCTAACTTTTTAATGTCAATAAGTTGTTTTGAAACATTGTCTCGAATATGTGAACACTGCTCGACAATCTGATTTGAATACAGTCCAAGCTGCCATTCTTGCCAACTTTGCCACCAGCTTCGCCAGGTGGGCGCAGCAAATCGCTGACTGTGTTAGTGCGACATCCTCGAGGAACAGCAAAACAAAATTGCCTCGCCTTTGTTCGCAAACTTTCTCTGGTTGGTAGATCTCAAGGTTTTCCAGTTACATTAGCTCGCCATTTCGCTCACTCTTGAAAGTACTGTGTGCTGCTAGGCAGCATGTTGAAAGAATAGCCTTGTCCTTGCTCCTTACTGTAACAGTTCTTTCTAGAACCGAGTTCAGGTCAGGCCAAATCCCGTGTTTTTTTTCCCGAGTTAGGCTTGCGAAGCGCGACCTCAGCGCCGCCTGTCCTTAGCGTTTAGAACAGCCAGCTTGCCGTCATCGTCCCTTCGTGATCCACCACTCGAGTTCTCTGCTGATTGCTTAGATACTCTTTTGAAAAGCGCAACTCTGTAAACTTGTTGCAGTTTTTTTCGAGTGGATCCGGAATAGATCCGGCGAGATGAGCACGAAAGAAGGCGATCGGCCGAGACCCGGCGACAGACTAGGCACGGAGCGGTTCGACGCAGAGAGCGGCGCGTCGGGGAGCGGAGCGGGCGAGAACGGCGGGGCGATCCGCGTGGTGGTGGTGGGGAACAAAGGCACGGGCAAGACGTCGTTAATCATCTCATGTCTCACAGAGGCATTCCCGGAGGAGCCCGTGCCCGTGCTGCCGCCCACTCGCTATCTCGCCGATTCCTTCTCCGATAAAATCCCCCTCTTGATCGTCGACACGTCATCAAGGTCCTTCTCATGCCTTCCCTCCTCGCTTCTTTACGCGTCAACCGTTTTCTCACTCAGCGCGTTCCTCCGCGCGTTTCTCCTCGCTCTTCTCGTCCGTCTTGCTCTCCTCCCGCGCTCTCTTTCTCTCTCTATTTCCATCTCACTCTACTTTCAGGCTCGGCCACCGCGTGGCGTGAACACCATTTCCATCTCTTCCCCCCTCTCCCTTCTCCTTCGACCGCTCTGCCTGCCGTCTGTCGTCGCGACTCAGCCCTTGTCTCCTCCGTCTCACTTGCACGCCGTGTGCGCTGTCCGTATCTTTCACACGCCGTTGCCTGCTTTCCTGGTTCGGGATCCCCTTGTCGTCGCAAGTGTTAGCTTATTACTTTGAAACGTCTCATAGACCAACTTGGGGATTGAGTCTTTGGGTGCGTAGAAGTCTCCTGTGTGTCATTACCCCCCACCCACCATTCCCACTTGAGTTGCAAGTTGACTGAAACTTCGCAGGTATGCTACCGTGTATCGCCTCCATTCCCGTGTCCTCCCGTTGTCTGAAATCTAACCGTCTGCCTTGATCGTTGCGCCCCACTATACGCCTGCCGAGCCGTTACTAAACTCTTAACCTCTTTTTTCTTTACCAGTCAGCCTTTCCGCCCTTCTCCTATTCCCTTCCAGCCTAATTCCAGATGAGCCTGTCCGGGTACGTATTGTGTGTCGTCTCGACTCAAAAGTCACTTCGGATCAACCTTTCTCGGCGTCACTTTATACATAGGCCGATCCGCCTTTAGCCTGCTCCCGGACGTCGATCCGTGTTTCCGCCACACCCGCGTGTTCGGCACGCCGTTCCGCTCCGCTCTAGGTTTAGGGTCACTTAGACTGGGTGCAGAGAGGTTCACCGTGCGGTGCAGTCCGAGGCAGCGACGCCACGGTGTCGTTGCGCAGCGAGTGCTCTCTCTCTCTGCCACACGATGCTACCGCTGTAGATCTCGCATGCTATGCTTGACGTAGCATCACTTACCTCAACGTCGAAGCGCAGTCCCGATCCCGTTCTTAACACTCGTCTCGGCGGCCCTTTCGATCGCACGCGGCGCCGGCCGTTCTCCGGCGCTCGTGGCGCGTCTCGTGAAACCGGATCGTATTGCAGAGCGCCTCATGCTGTCGCACTGTTTCCGCGCATGCGCCGTCCCGTCCAGGGGGTAGTTTTCCTGCTGCGGCGGCCGCCGCGGCGCGCGCTCACCCGCATATCCCCCTTCCGTGTTGCGTGTCGTGCGTGCGCGCGCAGGCGGGAGGAGCGGGGCGCGGTTGAGGCGGAGCTACGGGCGGCGGACGCGGTGGTGATAACGTTCGCGTGCGACGACCAGGCGTCGCTCAACTCCGTCTCCTCCTACTGGCTGCCGCTCCTAAGACAACTGCAGGTGCTATCGCGGATCAGGGCTTCCGGGGACGGTCGGTCGCAGGAGGCTGGGTTTTTAGTCGTAGGGAGATGGGTAGGGGGGTTGGGAAAGAGAAGGGGGAAAGGGAGAGGCGGAGGCGTGTCTGGCGGGTTACCATTTCTAATTAGGTGCTGCGATAATTAGGTACTGCGAGCGCATGTGCGTCAGTTTCCACGCGCAAATGCATTTCGTCCCTCGCCCTCATCCCCCGCCCTCATCCCCCTCCCTCATCCCCCGCCCTCATCCCCTGCCCTCGTCCCCCGCTCGTCCCCCGCTCGTCCCCCGCTCGTCCCCCGCTCGTCCCCCGCCCCCAGGTGCCCGTGCCAGTCGTGGTGGTGGGCTGCAAGCTCGACCTTCGAGACGCGCCAGGCGCAGCGGCGGCGGGGGGAGTGGGGGGGGCGGCGGGAGGGGCGGGGGGCGCGGGCGCGGGGGTGGCGCAGCAGCCGCTGGACGTGCTGGTTGCGCCGATCATGGACGAGTTCAAAGAGGTCGAGACGTGCCTCGAATGCTCCGCGCTGCGCCGCGTGCAGGTGCGTGTGTGGGGGGAGGGGAGGCGCAGGGGGAGGGGGAGGGGGAGGGGCGCATGGAGGGAGAGTTGGAAGGGGGATGGGGAGGGTAAGAGGGAGTGGGAGAAGGGGAGAGGGAGGGGGAGGGAGAGGAGAGGAGGGGGGGGGGAGAGGGAGAGGAGAGGAGGGGGGAGGGGGAGGGAGAGGAGAGGAGGTTTGGTGGAATTGTGGGCCAAGTGGGAAGTGAGGAAAGGTGCATGTGTGTTGAAAGGGGATCAAGTCAAGGGGAGAGTGCATTGTGAATGTATTGAGGGGGCAGGGCAGGTTGTGGCAGGGTGCAGGAAAGGGAGGGTGAGGAAGGGAAGGAGGGGGTGGAGAAAGAGTGGTAGGGGAAAGACAGTTGGGGAGGGGAGGAATCAGACGATCAAGAAGAGCACCAGATGTTTCCTGGCTGGTTTGCGCAGCTTCCTTGATTAGTCCACCAGTAGGCAGGCTCATCCATGCTCTCTCAGCATCCACCGTCCATCGTGCCTGTTTAGTCGACTCACAAGTCACCTCAACATCACGCACTCTGCCTCTCCTCTCCTCTCCTAGCTCTCCCCCAAATTCCCCTCCTCTCCTCGCTCTCCCCCGAATTCCCCTCCAAGCCCCCCTCAAACCCCCCAACACCGCATCCCCTCGCCTTCCCCCTCACTTCCCGCTCCCCTTCCCCCTCCCCCTCCCCCTCCCCCTCCCCGTCCCCGTCCCCTTCCCCCTCCCCCTCCCCCTCCCCGTCCCCGTCCCCTTCCCCCTCCCCCTCCCCCTCCCCCTCCCCCTCCCCGTCCCCTTCCCCCTCCCTCTCCCCCTGCCCTCCTCCGCACGGTGCAAGTGTGGCAGGTGGCGGAGGTGTTTTTCTTTGCGCAGAGGGCGGTGCTGCACCCCACGGGGCCGCTGTTTGACCGGCAGACGCAGGCGCTGCGGCCGGCGTGTGTGCGAGCGCTCATGCGCATCTTCATGCTCTGTGACGTCGATGGGGATGGCGTGCTCTCCGACACCGAGCTCAACGCCTTCCAGGTGATTCCCCCACTGCACAGCACAGCACAGCACAGCAGAGCACCGCACAGCACAGCACCGCAAAGCACCGCACAGCACCGCACTGCACAGCACTGCCCTGCGGCCGGCGTGTGTGCGGGCGCTCATGCGCATCTTCATGCTCTGTGACGTCGATGGGGATGGCGTGCTCTCCGACACCGAGCTCAACGCCTTCCAGGTGCCGCATCGCACTGCATTGAACCGCACTGCACCGCCGCGCCTCCGCCTGTCTGGTTGATTTCTGGCCACGCGTGTTGCAATGCACGGGGTGAATGCCATGCACACAAGCATCTCCCTGCTCCTGCCCTGCCTCTCCTTCTCCTCCCGTTTCTCCTCTTCTCCCTCCCGACCCCCTCTTGCCCTTCCCCCTCTCTCTCCTTCCGTGGGCCACGTTTCCCCGTTCCACCCATCCCCCCCGTCCCCCAGGTGGAGTGCTTTTCGGTGCCGCTACAGCCGGCGGAGCTGGTGGGGGGGTGAAGCGTGCGGTGACGATTTTTGTGGCACTTCAAGAAAACTTCTCCCCCCTTTGCCGCTGTCCCTCTACGCCCCAGGTGGAGTGTTTCTCGGTGCCGTTACAGCCGGCGGAGCTGGTGGGGGTGAAGCGAGTGGTGGCGGAGAAGATGGTGGATGGCGTGGCGGGCAACGGACTCACACTCACCGGCTTCCTCTCACTCCACTCAAACCTCATTCCATTCCCTCTCCTCCCACCCCGTCTTGCTCCTCCTCTCTCCATCCCGCCCCCTCTCGCTCCTTCCGTGCGTCGCCCCCGCGCCCCCCCGCCCCCGCGCCCCTCCCAACCCCCCCACTGCTCCCCCTCCTCTCCCTTCCTTCCGTCCATCCCCCCAGGTGGAGTGTTTCTCGGTGCCGTTACAGCCGGCGGAGCTGGTGGGGGTGAAGCGGGTGGTGGCGGAGAAGATGGTGGATGGCGTGGCGGGCAACGGGCTCACACTCACCGGCTTCCTCTTCCTGCACGCGCTCTTCATCGAACGCGGCCGCCTCGAAACCACCTGGACCGTGCTGCGCAAGTTCGGGTATTCGTCGTCTCTGCACCTGCGCGAGGAGATCACCCGGCTGCCTGCGCAACCGCTGCCGGACCAGGTGGGAGGGTGTGGGGGCGAAGGGAGGTGAAGTGAGAGAGATTGGGAGAGGGGGAGAAGTCGAGGACACATGGACTGTGCTGCGCAAGTTCGGGTACTCGTCGTCTCTGCACCTGCGCGAGGAGATCACCAGGCTGCCCGCGCAGCCGCTGCCAGACCAGGTGGGTGGGGGCTGGGCGGAAGAGGGGGGGAAGAGTGGGGGGAGGGGGAAAGGGATGGGTGTGTGTGAGACCACCTGGACCGTGCTGCGCAAGTTTGGGTACTCGTTCTCGCTGCACCTGCGCGAGGAGATTATCCGGCTGCCCGCAATGCCGCTCCCGGACAAGGTGGGTTGGGGTGGGGAACGAGGGGGGTAAGGGAAGGGAGAGAGAGGGGGGTTCGCAATGGGAGATGGGGGAGGGAGGGGAGGGGAAAGGAGCGGGGGAGGGGGGAGGAGGGTGGAGGGTAGCGGAAGCAGGGAAGAAAGGCATGGGGGGGATATGGTAGTACGGGGTGCCATTGCTGCGGCTGTTGACGGCCTGGTGTATGGGTGTCTGCTTTTGTGCCTTTTCGGAGCTTGTTCCTCTCGTGTTCCAGCCTTCCCCGCCACTAAATTCCAACCTCCTGTATCTCGCCCATCTTCCCATGTCCGCCCGTGCGCCACTGTCGGCCCGTGGCCCCTCTGTGGGACGGGCATTCTCCTGGTCTCCCCGGTGTGGCCCCCGGCACAGAGTGTGGAGCTGTCAAGCAAGGCGCTGGAGTTTGTGTGCGCGCGCTTCAGAGCGTTCGACAACGACCAGGTTAGACAGCCAGTCAGCCAGCCAGTCAGCCAGCCAGTCAGCCAGCCAGTCAGCCAGCCAGTCAGCCAGCCAGTCAGCCTGCCAGTCAGCCAGCCAGTCAGCCAGCCAGTCAGCCAGCCAGTCAGCCTGCCAGTCAGCCAGCCAGTCAGCCAGCCAGTCAGCCAGCCAGTCAGCCAGCCAGTCAGCCAGCCAGTCAGCCAGCCAGTCAGCCTGCTGCATACACTGACAGCGTCCTGGCCCCGCTCCTCCTCCTCCTCCTCCTCCTCCTCCTCCTCCTCCTCCTCCTCCTCCTCCTCCTCCTCCTCCTCCTCCTCCTCCTCCTCCTCCTCCTCCTCCTCCTCCTCCTCCTCCTCCACCTTCAGCTCAGCAAACCTCCTTTCCGTCCTCCCTTCGTCCTCCCATCGCCCTCCCGCCTTCTCATTTGCTCGCAGTCCCTTCTGATCTTTCATCATCTGCTCCCCTCCCCCGCCCTCTCCCATTCCCGTCCTCCCCTCCCACCTTCCACCCCCTCGCCTTCCACCTTCTCCTCACCCTGTGCCTGTGTGCTCCCACGGGTGTGTATGCCTGTCTGTCATCTCCCACCCGATCCCCCTACGTCCTCCCTTCTTCCCCTCCTTGCCCCGCTCCGCCGCGCCCATGTGCTGCCATGGGCGTGCATGTGTGTGTGTGTGTGTGTGTGGCATCAGGACGGGGCGCTCAACACGAGTGAGCTCAACAACCTCTTCAGCACCGCACCCAACAGGTACACACGTGCACGCACTCATGCACGCACGCACACATGCATGCTCACACACTCAGAAAGCTCCTTATTTGAGCTGTTAACACCTCTCCTCACACCTGAGCACCAAACGGTAAACACACTGACACCTGCACGCCACTGCTCCCTTCCCTGCTGCTTGCCTCACTTCAACGCTCACCTGTGTACCCGCCTCTCTCAACCACCCACCGGTTAACTGTGTCCCCTCCACGATTTCCTCTAGACACAGCCTTTGCTGTCCCTCTTACAAAGCTTTGAGTCGTCGCAAAACGCGAATCGCACTGACTGTCAGTACTGCACACGCGCCTCTGCTCCCCTGCCCTTTTGACTTCAACAGGCTTTCTTTCTTTCCATCCGCATCTGCCCTCAAGTCCCATGTTGCTCTCTCCACCCTCTCAGTCCATCTCTGTCCTCCTCTCCTCTCCCCTCCCCCTCCTCCACCCCCCCTCTTTTCCTTCCTGCGCTCCTCCCTTTGCCCTGCCCTTCTCTTTTCCCATCTTTCCTGAACCAACACCCCCCCCCCCCCCCCCCCCCTTCCCTCTCTCCTCCCCACCTGCCGTTCTCCGCCTGTGTGAGCTCCCATCAGTCCATGGGAGGAGGCTCCGTACTTGGGAGCAGCAGAGACATCTCCTTCAGGAGCCCTCACGTTCAGTGGCTACCTCTCCCTGGTAATCCTGTCCTCTCTCCTTGGTAACTGTGTCTCCCTGGTGCCCATGCCTCTTCATTTCACACACTCCCCACCCTTCACTCTTCTCCCTGGCCTTGCATTTCAGCCCCTTCTCCACTTTCCTTTCTACTTCTACCTCCTCGTCCTTTCCCCCAGTTTCAATCCAACCCAGTGCGCCCCTGCCCTGCCCTTTGCATTCCTGTCCTTTCCAGCCCCTCCATGTTTTCGCTAGTGGCCTGTTGGTAGAGACATTTCACCAGCCGCATCTGGCGCGAGTGTAAGGGTGAAATCACCCAGGCTTACTTTCCCTCCCACAGCACCATTCTTCTAGCACCGATCTGATCCCCGGACTCTATCCTCCTCCCAGCCTTATCCCTGCCTCCCTGCGGCATCCAGAGAGGGCCGTAGAGTACCTGCTCTACCTGGGCTTGCCCTCCCACCTCCACCTTTTCTGCATTTTCCCACACCCCCCCCTCACCCCCCACTTCGTCCTTTCCCTCCCCCCCCCTCCCCTCCTCCCTCCCCCCCAGTGGTCGCTCATGGCCTTGCTGCACCAGGAGAGGGCCATAGAGTACCTGCTCTACCTGGGCTTCCCGTCCGACCTCGCCCTTTTTCTTCACTTCCCCACACTCTTCCCCCTTTTTCTTCCTCCCCCACCCATCTCTCCCTCCTCCCTCCCCCCCAGTGGTCGCTCATGGCCTTGCTGCACCCGGAGAGGGCCATCGAGTACCTGCTCTACCTGGGCTTCCCGTCCGACCTCGCTCCTTCCGCGCTCACCTTCACGCGGCGGCGCCGCAGCGACCGCAAGGCGGGCTCCTCACAGCGCCGCGTGCTGCAGTGCTTTGTGGTGGGGCCCGCTCAGGCGGGCAAGACTGCTCTGCTCAGCTCGTTGCTCGGGAGGTGGGTGGTCAGGGTGGGAGAAAGAACACACAGAGAGACGTCCAGGTTGGTGCTGCAGTGCTTTGTGGTGGGGCCCGCTCAGGCGTGCAAGACTGCTCTGCTCAGCTCGTTGCTCGGGAGGTGGGTGCGGTTGGTGTAAGCAGGGCGGGTGGGCAGGCAGGCAAGCGGGCGGGCGGGCAGACAGGCAGGCTGGCAGGCGGGCAGGCAGGCAGGCACGTGGGCGGGGTGTGAGGCAGGACACAGGCAGACAGACAGAGAGATGGACAGGTTGGCACTGGAGTGCTTTGTGGTGGGGCCTGCGCAGGTGGGGATGACTGCTCTGCTCAACTCGTTGCTCGGGAGGTGGGTTGGGTTGGAGAGCATGACGTGGAAGGAGGATGGGCAGACGAATGGGCAGACGAGGATACACATACACATACACATACACATACACATACATACACACATACACATTCACACACGGACACACACACACAGAGGCAGGTCCGTCTAGTGTGTTGTGTGCCTGCAGCAGCACAGCAAGATTCACCCTTCTCGCTTCTCCTCCTTTCAACACCCACTTCTTCCCTCTCTCAGCCCCCCTTCCATTCCTTCCCCACCCCCCCGCGCCCATCTCCCCAGACCATTTGAGCACACACATATCAAGTATGGGGAGGACGAGCGGTTTGCAGTTAACCTCGTCTCCACTGACCCTCAAGCGCACTCCGCCTCCTCCTCCTCTTCCGCTTCCTCCGCCTCTTCCTCCTCCACAACCTCCTCCTCCCTCTCATCGAATCGCGATCCCAGCAGTATAGCCAGCCAGGTACGATTCGGTTCGGTGTGCTGTGGTCGTGTGTGGTGTGTTGAGGTGTAGTGTGGTGGGGGGCAGTGAGAAGAATTGCTCAGTTGGAGTGTGGAGAAGGGCATCGCAAACACCAGTCTCCAGAGCACTGTGTGATGGTGTTGATGGCTTCCTCATCCTTGCATTAGAGCCTCAGAGCCAAGACTAGCATAACACACAGACGCCCTTCACTCCCCTGCTTGCCTGCACCCTTCCCTTTTGAGGCGCCTCAAAAGGCTTCATTCCCCTGCACCGTTCCCTCAATCACCTTCATTCCCCTAACGCATCACCATTGTCTTTCCCTCAATCCCATCTGCTTCTGTCCCTTCCCTCCCCCTTCTCCACCCTCGCGGGATGTGAGTGTTGGTGTTGAAGGAGGTGCATCCAGACGCCCTGCCGCTCTTCCCTTCCCTCCCCCGACCATTCCCTCCTCCACCAAACCCTTCCCGCCCCACCATCGTCTCTAACCTTCCCCTCCCAAACCTGAGTGCGCTGGCCAGCAGCAGCACAGTGCTGGTTTTGCATGAGGTGCATCCAGATTCCAGACGCCTCCGGCTGTTCCCTTCCCTCCCGACAGCAGTTCCTCATCCAACAAGCCCTTACCGTCCCCTTTCCCTGCGCACCAAACCACCCTGTCAGGATCTGAGTGCCCTGGCCAGCTGCAGCACGGTGCTGGTGTTGAGGGAGGTGCACCCAGACGCCCTTGCCGCTGCTCCCTTCACTCTCCCCGCAGTTCTCTCATTCAACACACTCTTCTCTTCTATCCCCCCCACACCCGCACAGGATCTGAGTGCCCTGGCCAGCTGCAGCACGGTGCTGGTCCTGAGGGAGGTGCACCCAGACGCCCTGCCGCGCCTCCTCGCTCGCCCCGACTGGCTTGCAGCCTGCGACGTGGCTGCCTTTGTATATGACAGGTGGGGGCAGTGGGAGGGGGGAACGGGAATGGGTAGGTCTGTGGGGAAGAGAGAGAGAGGATGAGAGGGGGCGGAGGGTTCATGGGGGGAGATAGGGAGGGAAGGTGGTGGGGAATTGGGTCTTTTGAACGATGGTGGCTTCCTGCGTGGCTTTGCGCTATGTCGCTTTCGTCTTCTCTGCTTCTCCTCCCTTCATGCAAGGGGTATGTAAGGGCTTGCAAAGTGCATGCTGGAGAACAGAGGCTTTTGTGCTTTTGAGAATCATCAAGACTCGAAACTGAACAGATTTTTTTTTCTAGAGTGAGTTAATAATGGCCTGCTGGTGTGAACAGGGGCTGTTGTGCCAGCTGAAGAGCGCATCTCTTTCCGACCTCATGTGTCATGGCCCATCGTTTGGCAACTCTTGAGTCGACTCAAAAGTCACCTCATGTGTCCCGGCCCATCATCTGATGTTCCTCCACCCCCTCTCCTCTTCTACGCTCTTCCACCCCCTCCCACCAACCCGACTTCCCCACATCTCCTCGTCTGAACCTCAGCCCACAGCTCCTTTCCTCTTTGTGCTGCTCCTTGCTGCCCTAAGGTGCCACTGCCCATGGTGCATGACCTCCATCCTGGACTCTTCTCCTGTCCACCCGTGCCTCCCCTACCTCCGTCACCTCCCGTACCTCTCTCTCCTGAGTGCGCAGCTCGTCTCAGGGCAGCTGGGAGAAGGCGGTGGGCATGCTGCAGGAGGTGGCGGGGCGGGCAGAGGCCTCGGAGTGCGAGATGCCGGCTGTGCTTGTGGCCGCTAAGAACGACCTCGAGCCCCACCCCGCCATCTTCACTCAGTCCGCACAGGTACTGTGCTGCACTGCTATTGCGCTGCGCTGCTATGCTGCTGGTGTGTTGGTGTGTTGGTGATGCTTGATGGGTGTCTGCACGTGGGTGTGTGTGTCCATGTGTAGGGATCTGCTTGTGCATGTGTGTGCGCATGTGTGTTTCCGTGTGCTTGACATGGGATACGCACCTCCAGGGTAGATGCCACTCATCCTTTGGAAGAGAATGGGGATGGTTGGGGAATTTTGGGACATCCTATCGTCTTCCCTCATGTCCCGATTTTTTCAACCATCCCCATTCTCCCCCAATTCCCCCAAATCCTCCGCAATCCCCCTTCAATCCCACCATCTCCCTTCAAAACCCCCCAATTCCATCCAATCGCTCGCGTCTCCATTTCCCACCCATTCCCCCCCCCCATACCGCTCTCAACCCCTGCCCCCTTCCCAGCTGTGCACGGAGATGGGCGTGGCAGCTCCAGTGCCCGTGTCCTCGCTGCTGCACGATGTCAACGAGCTGTGGACGCGCCTCACGGACGCGGCCAGGAAGCCGCACGTGGGCATCCCGGAGACGTCCGCCTCGCGCTCCTCCAAAGCCCTGCGCAAGCGCCTGCTCTACCGCTCTGTCTCCGTCGCTCTCGGTGAGTGGCCTAGCAAGGGATGCGGCAAGGGAGGGGCGTGGGGGGTCTTGGGGGGCGTCGGGGGGTACGTCCTTGTTGCTAGAGTTTGCTTTCTGATCGGAGCTTGTCTTTTCACACCCTAAACCCTAGCCCCTGTTCCACTTCGCCCTTGTTCAAAATCACGCGCTGCCCGTTTCTGCACTTCCTCTTTCCTTCCCTCCCTCTCCCCCCCCACCCGCACTCACCGTCTCCTCTGCAGTGGGCACAGCAGTGGCAGTGGTGCTGGTGGTGGGCTTTCGGATATACGCTGCGCGTCGCTCCTCCTCCACGTAGCGCTCCTGCGTGTGTCTTCACGCGTTGATTGTGCATCCATTCGTGTGAGTGCCCGACCACTCACCTCCTGCTTCCTTCTCAGCCCCTTGCTCTGCTCAGTTGAAGGGGGTTCCTTTCGTTGACTTTTGACCCCGGTTACAACCTGCCTTGCATCATTTTCTCTTTTTGTTATCCTCTCTTTTCCCGTTCATTTGACTCACTGAGGTTGCGTTTGTTCCTCTTTGTTTGTGCTTTGCTGCTCCCCTTCCCGTCCACTCACGATCCAGTGACTCAATCAACAACCATCCTCTGTCCCTCCAGCTTTGCTCACTGTTGGGGGAAGCGCTCACTCCTGCCGCTGCGGTTCTTGTCGATAGTCCTGTTCAGGATGTCTGCTCCTTGGTAACACTACCATAATCAGCTTCAAGAGCATAATCACCAGCACCGCCATTATTACCATCGCCATGATTCCCCACACTCACCACCACTAGTAGTGACTAGTGCACCTACTTCCACTACCACTGTCATCACCAGCGTCTGCAGCCAATTGATGCCTACTGGAGGTTGATATGCTGTGCGTTAGGCTTGCTGTGATGGTTTTATCCTGCTTTTGGGTTGTAACATTAGATGATGCTTTGTGGCTAGTTTCCTAGTTAGGTTGCTACGAGTACCCACTTGTTTCGCTTAACATCATTTCATGAAGTCATCATCCGTTTTTTGCTATTAGTTTCTCACCAGTTCTTTCGAAAATGCTGTCGTTCTGTATATTGAACTTATGGTGTACCTATATTTTATGAATACAAGCGGGTACCCTGGTATTCGTAGAACTGCAATGTAAAATTAAGGCTGAATGTACAGCACTGGTGCACATGCTCTATCAACTAACCAACAGCAGGATTGATGGGCACTAAGAGAAACGGCACAAATGTCTCCCTGAATCTGCGACTCGGTTCAGGATGGATTTTTCTCTCGTCCAGACATTGTTTCAGCAGGTGGTGGTTCGTGTTTCCATTCTACACGTATGATGACATGGAGTCAACCCCGTCACAATCGGTAGCGACGAAATTACCCTTGCAATTCAAGGTTTGAAATCGGTTCGCTCTTCTAAATCCGAGCGGCGTAATTGACACCTCCCCGAACCACCATCACAAGCTGGGGATGGATTATTTTCAACTCAAAACGTGAAATTACCTTCATTATTTTGTCACAACGGTTCTGATGTTGGTCTTGATTAAAAGAACTAGATTTAGAGGTCTCAGTGACCTTGTAACTTCCCAGCAGACAGCGGGGTTCAGGGGTTTACAGTGTGCCCCACAATTTCGCCCCCACCATGTACCATTTATAAAATTTTGGCACTCTCCCTGCCAAATGTATAATGCTGCTTTAAAGCGGCAGTATACATTTGACAGCAGGGTTCAGGGTTTTACAGTTTGCCCCACAATTTCGCCCCCACCATGTACCATTTATAAACTTTTGGCACTCTCCCTGCCAAATGTATACTGCTGCTTTAACTCTTGTTGATTCCCTTCCAGAACCATCCCATGGATTTCTGTAACCGAAACTCGTGATGACTAAAAGTCAGGTCCTAAAGAATTCGGAAGGGGGTAGACGCTCTGACTTTCTGAGGCCAGTTTGCAACCAGGGTCACGATAGTGAAAAGGGCAAAAGAGGCTTGTACTTCCATCTACAGTTTCCGAAATCTGGGTCCCCAGCATGTTTTGTACAATCGAACAGTGTTTTGACTGTGGGCTTGTAATATGGCCGTCTGCCCGGCATCAACGATTGCCCCTGTGTTACGAATGGGCAGTTCGGTCACATTCAAAACACCCTCAAAATCAAAAGTCCTCTTTCCAAAATGTGGATGTTGACTCGCACGGCCATTTGCTGCAGTGTACTACCGTCGTTACATCTCCAGCCCTTCACCTCGCGTCGCGTCCCCTGTCCTCATCGTTCTGCTCAACCGCGGTTGCAGCTGCTGCACTGCTGCAGTTGCTGCTGCAACAAACCAAACGGCAACTACAGTGCTGCTCGTGCTCGTCCATGTGCTCATGACAAGGGGAGTGGCTTGTGATGTGTCGCGTGCGAGGGGGAAGGGGCTGGCGTCTCGGGGGAAACAAACCCAACCAACCCGACAATGAACAGACACCACAGACAGAACGAACGACCCACACATCACACCACACATACAGTACAGTATGATCTGTACGAACTCGCTCGAAACGAAGACAAGTGACGCGACGCGTAGTTCCGATCAGTGCTGACATACGAGGGGTAATTGGATGCTTTTTTAATGTGGTGCAATCGTGGCTACCCCTCACTTTATGTGATCCGTTTCCGCTGTGCACACGCTCATAGAAGTTCAATCTCGTCAATTCCCTCCCAGAACCTTCCCGTGGATTAAAAAATGACATGGTTGGCCATAATACAATACACAATTTTGGGCTGTACACCTACACATCTTAAGAGACAAGGTCATCTCCACAGTAGGTGCCCCGAAACGTCTATTCGGAGATTTCCTGATCTCCACCGCCCATTAGCAAGACCCGAATCGAACTGAGGTTGAGTTGAACTAAGTGCCAACAAAGTGACTAGCACCTGGCATGACAGCTGGGTATCCATGCTTGCAACCGCAACACAAGATTCCCTGCCCGAAAACACAGCGCAATACACCCTATGGCCAACCTGCTTTCTGGAACTCGGTGTACGGCCCTCTGTACAGTACAGCATTTGGCAACAAGCTCCCTCCTCCACTCTCCTCTCCCAGTTCCCTCTCCTCGCCCCATCCAGTTCCACCCCACCTGTTCCTTCCCATCCCATCCCAACCCAGTCCTTGATCGCTGGCTGGATGGATGGGGGAGGGAGGGGATTCCAGTTTCCAGTCCAACTCAACCAACAGACCAAACAAGCGAAGCGCAGCAGACGGGAACAAAACATGACGAGACGACAGGGCCCGTTACTTCCACATTCACTCCTTGTTCTGTGGGATGTCGGAAAGAAACCGTCGCGCACCAGTGTGGTGTGGGTGCAGTGGAAACACCAACCAACCTCATATCAGCCACACAAGCCAAAACAACCATGGCGTGGCGGCGTCCTTCCGGCCCCTTTCCTACCTCACCTACCTCCTCCCTCTCTCCCCCTCCCCTCCACTCCCCACTTCCAGCTACCCCCCACCTGACAACCCACCACCAACCAGCCTAAAAGACAGCGCATTCCTCAGAGTAAGCAATCGCAGGTGAACAATCTTCAGCTTCAAATCTTCGTTGGCATCGCGCCTATCAGCCCAGTTTCACAGCGTCAGACTCATCAGGCTCCTCCTGTCGCCCTCTAAACGTTTCCTTATCTGCTATAGAGGTCGTCTACAAGCAAAATCTGGAACCTCCATCTTCATCCACTCCACTACGAGTCACTAGACGCTTCACATAGCAAGTTCTAGCTTCGAGTCATCTTCAAGCTTCTTCGCAAATTTTCCGCGCTGTCGTTCATCACATTGGGCAACCATGAGTAATCCGCACCGCTGTCGCATCTCGTTGGCCCTTATCAGCCTCCTACTAGTAGTCCTCCCGCAACCATGGCAACAAGCTCGCAGCGCGCGCCTCGACCCACGAGCCGACTCTCCCCAGCAGCCGTCCCTCACGCAGTTTGAAATGGCCGTCCAAAGAACCCAACAACTGCCGGAATCCGTCAGGAACAATCTGCACATGTCGCGCCTTCTCAAAGGCGTGGACATCGACGAGAACGACGAGGAGGAAGTGGCGGCGCGACGTCGCCTGTCCGCCGCCGACGGAAACTGGTTCGGGCTGCGCGCGCCGCGGCTGCGGTCCGGGCCGAGCATGGCGGCCGTGAACATGTCGTTCTTCCGGTGGGAGAGCGTGCACGCGCTGAGCTACGTGGACTGGCGCACCACCATGATGATCACCCCCATTCAGCGCCAGTTCCAGGTCAGCCGCCACGCATTTTGAGAAGTCGGGCTCGCGCCGCCCCGGCGTCGCGGAGTCGTCCAAAGCTGGAACACCCGAGCTACTGGTTTCTGTTCCGCATCGCGAATGCTTTCCTCCCCCCCCCCCCCCCCCCCCCCCCCCGTTTTTTTTTTCCTGCTAACACGCGGCCTTCACTAACTGTTTGCTTTCTACCCTTCCTGCAGTGCGCGAGCTGCTGGGCCATCACAGCCGTCGATTCCATCGCCATGATGTGGGCGATTGCGACGGGCACGCCTGCGACGCCGCTGTCGCCGCAGCAGGTGTGCGACTGCGCGACGAAGCAGTGCTGCCAGGGCGGGTGGCCCGACTGGGCCTTCTCGTACGTGCTCTCCAACAACGGCGTCACGCAGCTCGGCAACTACCCCTACGTCGCCGCCGACTCCACTACCTGCTACTTCAACGCCACGGAAGTGGCGCCGCTCGCTAAGGTTCGTGCCGTCTCGGAGACTCTCGAGTCGAGAACCCCTGGCCTTCAAAGTTGCCCTCGCATAAGTGATGTCCTTTTCCCTGTCACGAGTTGTCCCTTCCCTCCACCGTCTCCAACCCTACGTTATCTCATCCTCTTTCCTCGCATGTGTCTCTCTCTTCCCCTTGTTTGCTCCCCCTTCTCTCTCCCCGTTCTTCCCCTTCGCGCGCCCGTTCCGCCGTGCGCAGATCTCCGGATGGGAGCTGGTGCCGGCGTTCAACCCGCTCGCGCTCATGAAGGCGGTAACCACGCAGCCCGTGATCGCGTTCGTCAGCGCCGCGTCCAACGACTTCCGCACGTACAACAGCCGCGACCAGATGAAGATCTACGACGGCATGTGCACCACGGAGATCAACCACGCCGTGCTCGTTGTTGGATATAACTACACCGGGCCCAGCCTCGTCGGCAGCTACTGGATCATCAAGAACTCGTTTTACAACACGTGGGGCGACAAGGGGTATATGTACCTCGCCATGACGCCCGACGTGCGCGGGAAATGCGGGATGCTCACCGTGCCGCCCATGTACCCGGTGTACTACCCCGTCGGGCCGCAGCCCGCGCGCTTCGCGTCGAACATGCGCGGCCGGTGGAAGGTGCGCCGCGTGGACGACCTGTCGTCGGAGCTCTTTAACTCCGCGCTCACCCCCTCGGGGACTAACTCCTCGGCCACCTCGTCCGACCTTTCGCGGCTTGGGTTCGGCGCCATGGACCCGTGCGCGGATGTGATCAACCCGTGCGGCGCGGGCGTGTGCTACAGCTCGTTCGGCATGGCGCGCTGCGACTGCTCCGCGGTGCCGGGCATGGTGGAGGTGATCGCGTCGCCCACGTCCAAGTGCGTGCCGCGCTACCCCTGCTCCTCGCGCACCAGCGGCACCGTGCCCATCAACCCGTGCGGCGGTGGCACGTGCTCCGACCTCGGCGACGGCTCCTACACCTGCAACTGCTCTCCCGTACGTGCCGCCTTCCCCCCTGCCTGCCTACACGCCATTTCCCTTTCCCACCCGGCATTTCCCCTCGCCAATCCCTGCCCCCCCTCACACCTCGTGCCTCCTCACCATGACTCTCCACTCACCACTGTACCCACCGTGCCCCTCCTTGCCACCTCCCCATGCGCGCGTGTGTCGCAGGGCTTCGCCATCGGAGCAGCGGTGGACGGGTCGCCCACGTGCATGCCGTCTTCAGGCGTGGCGCAGGTCTACACCACAGTCCCTGGCGACACCTGCTCGGTACGCGCCCCGCCCTCTGCCCTCGGCCTTCTGACCCGTGTCATCTGCTTTATTTTTCTCCTCGTACCAATTCCTCACCATGCATCTTTACACTCGTTACGTGCGATTGCAGACGGTGGGAGCGTCATACAACCTGACGAGCGACAGCCTGATGTCACTCAACACGTGGCTCAACTGCACAGCCACGGACTACCTTCCTCCCGGCATCGCCATCACCATCGCATCCAGTCCCAACATCACCACCACCACCGTCACCACCAGCGCCAGCACCACCACCTCCACCTCCACCTCCTCCTCTACCTCCTCCTCGTCCTCCTCGTCGGTCCCTGCGACGGTCACCACCACGGGCGCCGCGAGCACGAGCGTGTGCACGTCCACGCACAATGTACGCAACAAGGACACGTGCTGGTCGCTCGCCACTACGTATTTCGGCGGCAGCATCAACAACCTCCTCGCCATCAACCCGCGCCTGTCGTGCATCCGTCTGTTCAAGGGGCAGCAAGTGTGCCTCGTGATGAACACCACGACCATCACCCCCATGGTTAACACCACTGCCTCGCTCGTTCCGCCTGCGCCTATCGTCAACACCGGCACCACCACCACCACCAACACGGCTGGGATGGTGTCAGACGCTGATATGGAGAACAAGGGACGGTCGGCGCCTGAGTGTGGGCAGACGTACATTGCAGCGGTGGGGGAGTCGTGCGAGACGGTGGCGAGCCGCTACATGATGTCATCACGCTCCTTCTCCACGTACGTGATGTGCCTGCCTCTCTGCTTGCACTTCATGTCTTTCTGCGCATCTGTGCGTTTGGACTTAGTCTTCCATCGGCTGCAGTGTTTTTCTTGTGACAGTTTTGTGAAACCTTCTCCCCCTTGTGTCTGTGTCCCATTGTGTCATGACAGGTTGAATCCCGTGCTGGACTGCAGCCTTCCCCTCCCTGTGGGCGCCTCTGTCTGCGTTGCTGCCAAGTCCGCTCAGGTATGCGTGCACCGCCACCACACCCTCATCTCCCTTCCACCATTTTCCTTGCACCTGTTGCAATTGATTCACCAGCACATGCACCCACCATCCACTCCCTTCCGCGCATCTCTCCCATTCACTCACCCTCCTCTCCCATTCACTCACCATCCCGCTCATCCCTCCTCCCTTCTTGCAGACTACGGTGAATTGCACGTCGTGGTACCGTGTGGCACAGGGCGACACATGCCCCATCATCTGGAACGCTGCCAACCTCACTCTATCCATGTTCACCTCCATCAACCCTGGCATCCGGGTACGCCTCTCCTCTCCTCCCCCGCCTGTATCATTCCCTCTCACCTGCCTATCTCACTTCTCATCTCTCACCCTCATAGCACCTACCCTTCCCAGTCAACCACTTCTGGTGTCCCCCACCACCGTGTGATTTTCTCCTTACCTTTCTCTTTCTCGATCCCTCTTTAGACTCCTAACCCCTCGATCCCTCTGCCCCTCTTCCTCCCCGTCCCTCGTCTCTCTCCCATCATGCAGTGCGAGGCGCCGTACCTCTCAGTGGGCCAGATGGTATGCATCGACTCGCCAGTGCTGGTGACCATGCGAGCCAACCCCAACGTGAGCTACTCGCTGCACACGGTGCGCAACGGGGAGAACCTCGCCATCATCTCCTCCATCTACATCTCCCGCTGCACCCCCGCGTCTGTTTCCCCCGAGGCCATCGCTGCCGCCAACAACCTTCCCAACAACGCGTCGGCGGAGCTCGAGACCAACAGCACCATCATTATTCCGTGCGTGGGCCGCGCAGGGGTGCTGGACTGTGGTTGCGCCACCTCCGTGCCGGTCTGCGGCGCCGACTATCTCACTTATCCTTCGTACTGCGATGCGGTGTGCAACTACGCTGTACCGATCCGCGACTCGGCCCCGTGCAGTGGGTGCACGGCGGCCTGCACGGGCCGGACTGGGATCGCTCCTCTCGCAGGCTACGGCTGCGGGTGGGCTATCTGTCCATATCCCACGTGGTCGCCGTCAGATGTCGACAGCTCGCAGATGGTGGGCGACGCCGATGGAAAGCGCTGCGCGTATGTGTCGTCGACGTGCGACAGCGTGTGCACATCTACCATGCAGACGCTGGGGGGAACTGCGACGCAGCAGACGACGAATTACAACAACTGTTACAACCAGTGCATGTGCTGCTCTCGCATCCCCTGCGCTGCCAGCGCATGCAACGCGCCCTCCAGCTGCTGGAGTCAGAGCCCCCGCAAGTGCATCTACGCCAGTTTCAAGTACACCTGGAACTGCACCTGGTTCCCGGCTGAATATCCACTGCCTTGATGCCTTTGTCTCGTAGACGAAGCAGCTGCTGCATCCGGTGGCGGCATGTGATCTGTCCAGCTGTACCATAGTAGTGTACACTCCGTTTTCCAAATATGCATAAGCTAGGTCAGTGTAGGCTTGGAAAGCAATGCATTATTTCATTTTTGTGAGACTTGTCACGGCCTTTTGATGCGGTGATTTAATGTGAATATTGGTGCTGTACACTAAATGCTATTTCCTGTGGATGAGGCTCTTTTATGCACCACTAAAGGGGAAAAAAATGAGTGTGGGTCAATTTTTTTTTGAAATAGATTATGCCTAGGAGAAAACAAGACAGATTTGTTTCTGGTTGATTGAGGTGGCCTTGATTTGGAATAATGATACAAGCCAGTGAAATAACCATTGAGTACATACGTGAGCTTTGCCCCACTGTACCGAGAATCCGTTCCTTCCAGAACTTTTGGCTCCCAGAAGAACCCGGCCCGCTCTTTTGTGTTCCCGTGTTGAATCGTCAGCAACAAGCTAGCGGTGCGGGCGAGGCGATAGTGGCTTCTTCAGCCAAGTTATTTCATACCTTCAATGTTCCACCAAGACCAACTTTTTGGAGTAACGATTTCGACTTCAGAACGTTTTCGTGTCTAAGCAGGAGAAGGCGTGTCTTGTTGCGGTGGCTCTAAGAGGCTTGCTTGCCCAGCGAGCACCTTTGTTTTTCGCGCTATCCTCAATAAGGCGAAGTAGACAAGACCCGTCGACCATGCAACGATGCGTTCGTCTGATTCGCCTTTAGACGGGGTTCCAGCTTCGTGTGTGCTTTAGTCGTTTCGGCTCGAGATAGTGACGGGCGCGCACCTCATAAAGCAAGCATCGCCGAGCTGCACAATCAGGAAAACCGAGCTCGCGTGAGACCGACACTCTCAAGATACTAGTTTTCCGTCATCGAATCTCTTGATCGGAGTGGTTCGGCAACATGGCTGTTAGCGCTGATGGTAAGCTGGCGGCTTGTCGGGCAGTTCGATGGCATACTCTTTCCATGCCCTTTTCATTGCTCTGCTATTGGGCGTTCTTTTGCAATTCGACTCTTTAATATTATGGTGTGCGTGTGCGCCTCGTGAGTGCCCTGTCGACTCCGTCCACTTGTGTTCCGTCTTCCATCATTCTTTTCTCACTCTTATCTCTCACTCACTTTCGTCTCTGTCTTCTTTCTCTCTCTCACTCTCGTTGCATGGTGGTCCCTGTCTTCCCCCATTCCCTGCAGACCGCGTGTTGGAATTCGTGAGACAGGTGCGCCTCCCGCTCCTCGCTTTCAACCTCCGCTGCTCGCCTCCACTATCTCATCCGCAACTGCAATTTCTCCCCCCGCCCTGCCCAATATACGTATTCACGATGGACACATCCACCGTACTCGTTATACCTTCATGACGCATACCTCCTTCCTACCAATCAACCAAAATTTTCTATCCCCGTTTCTTACCTTGGCTTTTCCCAACCCCCCCGCCTTCCCTCCGTGCTACTCCATACAACCCAAATCCCACCCTCGTTTCCCCACCCCTGTCCGTGCCCCTCCCGACCCCTCCCGCGCACCACTCTCTCCACTCCACCCCACCCCTTCCCAACCAGCAAAACCGGCCAGTGAACGTGCAGAACGTGGCGGACGCGCTACAAAAGTACAGCATAAAGAAAACCGCGGTACAAAAAGCTCTCGACGCAGCAGGGGCGCGCGGGGACGTGGCGTTCAAGGACTATGGCAAGCAGCGCATCTTCATGGCGCGGCAGGACGTGCTGGACGTGCCCGATACCGCCGGGCTGGACGCCCTCAAGGCCGGCAATGAGCAGCTGCGGGAGCAGACCATGCGCCTCCGGGAGGACTGCTCTGCCAGGGAGAAAGGTGCGTGCAGGTGGGAGGGAGGCAGAGGCAGGGACAAGAGGAAGGGGAGGGGAGGAGGGGAGGGATAGGTTCGAGGGGGCGAGGGGTTGAGGGGGGATGAGGTGGAAGAAGGAGGACAGAGTGGCAGGTGAGGTTTGGTGGTCTGGAAGTAGCATTAGATGGTGGAGTTGGGACTGCACTGCACGCAGTGTGTTCTCTTGGCGCTGCGGCTGAGGATTTTGCACAGCCCTCGATGCCTTCCGCTCCCCGCCTCTATCCCTGTCGGGCCTTACTCGGTCTTTCGTCTCCCTGCAAGCAACCCTGCTGCTGTCATCTTCTGAGCGTCTTTCACGCGTTTTATTCTGCTCGCTCTTCGGATCGTATTTTCCCCTGGTGTTGTGTGTGCGTGGCTCTCAACAGAGGTGCAGGCACTGGAGCAGAGCTTGACTGCGGAGGAGATAGAGCAGCAGAGGCAGAGGATGGAGGAGGAGGTATGTTGGCGTGGTGAGACGTGTGCTTGACGTGTGCTTCGTGTGTGCTTCAATCATGTGTGCTGCAGTGCAGTGTTGGGCCAACCTATACATTAATTATGTTCTCAGCGTAGTACAGGTCATACATAGCTTCGAATCCAGAGTAGTTCTGATCGATGCGAACTCTTGATGCATCGCTCTTTTTTTGTTCCAATTCTCGTTTTTTTTTTTTTTGCTCCCTCTTGTCTGTTCCCGTATGTCTGGCTGACTCAGAACGCAGCTATGGAGACAAAGCTGGAGGCGTTGAGGAATGGAGGCAACAACATCTCGTCGTCACAGCGACAGCAGGCAGAGGAGCAGTACCAGCGATTCATGGGGCTCTGGCGGAAGGTACCCGTTAGGAGCAGGCAAGGGAGCTTGGGGACAGGAGGGGGAGAAGGGGAACAACAAGGAACAGAGGGTGGGAGAAGTGGATAGGAGAAAAAAGGTAGTGTGCTGATTTTTTATTTCTTTCGTTAGGAGAGGGAAGGGGGATGGGGTTACACTGGACTGGATGTGTACAGGATCAGAATTTTGATGTGCATGGTGCATATAACGAGGCTGCATGAGCCGCTCAGTATCGTCGTTTCACGTTTAACAATAGAAGGTAGTATCGCGTCTTTCCATCTCATCGCATAAATCCCCCAACCCACCCACCCCGCACCTCGTCCCCTTCCCTGTTGTTTAACGCCCTCCCGTTCCTCCCTTCTTTCCTCCCGACCTCGGTAATCTGCTCTGCTCCCCGTGCCTGGCTGGGCTGCACGGGAGCAGCGCAAGAGGCTGTTCAACACCTTCTTCTCCACGGTTACAGACGGCATGTCTCGCAGCGTCAAGGAATTCCAGGTCTCGTTCTGCACGTGCCCATGCTTGCTTGCCGCTCGCTCTCTCTCTGCTCTTTCCGCTCAAACACCCCGCTGACCTGATTCCACGCTTGCTTGTGTCCTGTTTTCCCTCGTCGCCGCCAACCCCCTATTTCATGTACGCTTCTTTAAGTAGTTCTTGCTACTGCCCTGCAAGGTTGCAGTTTGCCCATCCCAACTTCCACCCACGGAATCCACTGCCCCGTTGCTGGATTGCTGTGGGTCTCAGGAGGAGCTTGGGGTGGAAACAGACGAAGACATTGGTGTGAGCATTCAGGAGTGCAGCGACCTCCAGGCGTCCATGGCTGGAGGTCCCCCCTCAACTACCCAAAAGCCTCCCGTGAAGGGCCGGGCAGCAGTCAGTACTGGCAGTGCAAATACCACTGGTACCAAGAAGGCGAATGGAGCTAATGGGCTGGGTGGGATGGATGGCGCATTAAAAAAAGGGAGTGTTACGGTGCAGAAGGGAACCACCAAGCTTCCAGGGGCAGCTTCTAGTGGAGCTGGTGCAGGTGGTGGTGGCGGTGCTGCTGCTACTGCTGTCGGGGCTGGAGGGGGTGCTGGAGGGGCTGTGGCTGGGGGAAGTACGGGAAAAAAAGGGGCGACTGGAAGTGGGAAACGAGGTGCGGCAGCTGCAGCTGCTGGTGGGGATGGTGGTGACACAGATGGAGTTGCTGTGGCTGGAGGCGAGGGCGATATGGCGGGAGAGTCTTTGCATGGGGCAGAGGAGGTTGAGGTGGGAAAGAGGGGTAAAGCAAGGGCACCCAAGAAATCGAGGAAGAAGTAACAGCTTGTTGCTTGCTTTCATGTCGTTTTAGGGTATTCGCTTGTTGATTGTAGATGTTAGATTTTGTTGTGCAATGCTTCGGATTGCCAAGCTAGCATTCAGGATTGAATGCTTGCTGTTACAGGCAAATCATTCCGTAATCCCAGATAATGTGGTAGATCCTCCCCATCTCTATTCCACTCCACACCCACCTCTCATGCCCCATTTTAGCGTGAGTATTGTCTGGGCCACCCAACTTCCCCACAAAAACACTGATACTGCTGTGTGCGACCACTAAATATTCGAACCGGGTCTTGCCAAATCGGGCAAAACTGGGTGGTAACCACTGAAGCCGAAACTTGCAAGACGAATTCGCGGATTCCGCTGTTGGTGCCCCCACAAGGTGGTGCGAAATCCGAAATGTCAACAGGGGCACCGATACGATTGTCTGTGGGAGCTCGTGGGTGCACACACGCAGCAGTCCAACCTCAACCGGCTCGATCTAAATTCGGTTACCCTTGCCATTTCCCTAACATAGTGTCTGCTTTGGTCCACATCAAGTAATCTGCTTGCGCCATGGGTGATATTCTTCAGCTCACGCGTATGTGGTCCTCCCCCCGTTATCTTTCACCCTCAGCGCTGTTACTCTCTGCTGCCGAATTCAATAAAGCGCTAACCCTTTTCGGCCTTACTTTCTTTCACAGTTGTCGGGGCGTCTGACCTAATTGACGTCAAAGCGTGGGAGATCGGCAAACAGGATCCGTATGCCGTGGTTGTTTACAACGAGTTCGAGTTCCGAACGAAGGTTCAAGAAGGCAAGCACCCTTCTTGTATCCCTATACCGTGAATAGCCTCTTTTATTTTTCTACATTTGGCCTCACGTCCACGTGTCGTAGGTGGCCGAGTAGCAACCAGACAAATTAACGTTCGGTTTTGACGGCGTTGTGAACAGATGCGGGAAAGAATCCCGTTTTCAACGAAACATTCTCCTTCCCCTTGAGCACCAACCCGACGATCAGCATTACGATCTTCCATGACAGGAAGAAGCACGACGACGTTATCGGAGTTGGGAAGTACGGATTTCCTTGCACACCCTTGCCTTGCTCCACGCCGTGCTTTTTTGTTTTAATTCAATTGTTTTTCCTTCACCGGAATTGGTCAAAGGCACTCACTGCGGCTCATCCGACTGCCAGGTTGGCGTTTGCTAGCGCGTTTGCCACCGGATATGTGCACGAGAAGCTCCCGCTGTTCACCACGGAGGGCAGGTAGGACTCTTCCGCTACATTCTTTCCCAAGAGTTCTGATTCGTAAATAGTAACTTGCGTTAGTTGCTGTGGCTCGTTGTTTCAGGCAGCAAGGCTTCCTCGAGGTCATCATGAAGCTCCCTGCAGTGGTAAGACGCCCTTACTCGTCCCCCCTCTCCCTCCCCCTTTCTCCCCCCGACCCCACCCTTCTTCCCCTCTCTCCGTCCCTCGCACCCCTTTTTCTCGCTCGCTCGCTTTTCATACGTGCACACAACACCCGCACACACACCCAAATGCACACGCACGTATGCACGCACGAACGCACGCACGCACTCACTCGCTCGCTCACTCACTCACTCACTCACCGATGCACGCACGCACTCACGGACATGTATTCACCCCAACCCTGTATCGCCCCTGGTCCCGTTGATTCTTCCCAGATAGAGCGGATTAAGGCGCAGCTGGCTGCAGCAGAGGCTGCACGGCGGATCGAGGAGATGAGAATCGTCGAGGCCAGGGCTGTATACGCGGCGAAGCTGAAAGACGCGCTGAAATACCGCAAGCAGCAGGCAGCCGCAAAGGCAGATGCGCAGCAGGAAGTCATGGACGGGTCTCTAATCTCCCTCAACAACGCTTTCTCCTACGCCATGGCTGATCATTCTTCAAGGACTAATACTGCCAAGGCTGCGTTCCTGGGCGCGGATGCTGCTAGTGCTGAGCAGCTCAAGGCTGCGCTGGTTGTTGATGAGCCGGGCTTTTATGCCAAGCTGTGCAAGGAGACTGAGGGTGAGGAGGAATTCAGGCCGGAGATTGATGCCTACACTGGGGCTGTTTTTGGAGCAGCGCGCAAGCGGTATGGTGCAGTAGATAAGGCAAAGACAGATTTCGAAACAGCAGTTGAGGAGGCTGTAACGAATTACCTCATCAAGCTGCAGAACATTCAGACTGGGTTTGAAAAGGAAGCAGGAGAGGCGTCCAAGGAGTATATGAAAGAAGCCCGGACAAAGATATTCTGGAAGGAGGAGGCTCAAGCAGAATCTGATGTTGCAGCTTATAAGCCGCCTCTTTAGATGGCTCTCTCTTGTACCATGCAATTGCTGACTAAGTGTTGGGAAGGATTCGAGCTGTTCTCAAGCCTGCTCAATGCAATTGCTGACTAAGCGATGGGTATTGGGATGTAAATGAGACTCTAGCAGTGCAACATGTGGTATGGTGTAAAATGTGCTGGTATAGGAAGGTGCCATGTAAGTTGTGTGGTACTGGAGTGTCAGAAACTCAAGTTGTGATTGACTATTGTGGGTTGGGGTACATGAACCTAACCCTAACTGCTGTACCCTATTTGACATGCATCAATGCTACATCATTTGACACACCCCCATAGCCTAAGTGAGGGGTGTCAAGCAAAACCAAAACCGTACAGTCACAAGACCAGTCACAAAGAAACAAAGCTCATGGTGGATCACAACGTCACCACACAGTCCGAGCACAAGCAACAGAGCCACAAGGCCAGTCCAAGAGTTCATAGAGGTATATGCAAAGTGTACAACAAAACAAGCAAAGTCTACACAAGACGAGAACCTGTGTCAACGAGACCTAATTGCACACAACACCTGTGGTGGACACAAGGCGGAAGAGCCTTGGTGAAGATGCCTGCAGTGTTGGCTATCAAAGATATGCATATGTTATATTTGTGGGTAGGCTGTAGTGGGGTAGATACTGTGGGGTACAACCCCTTAGGGTTTTCTCCTTGTACCAATTTCTCTCGATAGTCAAATTCACTCATGCCTAGATTCTAAGATGGTATCTAGAGCCTAGAGGTCTTTAGGACCTAAGATTAGGGCCCACCCGTTACCACGTTACCTCACTTGCCTGCCTGCCTTGCCTACTGCCCGCGCGCGCCTCGGCTGCACGCGCGCGGCTTCTTTTTTTTTTTCCCGCGCGCGCCACTTAAGCAGCCCGCGCGCGGCCCGTTTAGGCCCGTTTAGGCCCGTTTAGGCCCGTTTTCGGCCCGCGCGCGCCACGTCAGCCGCCCGCGCAGCCTGCCGCCGGCCCCGCGCGTCGCCTCCTCCGGTGTGCAGCCCGCGCGCAGCCTGCTTAGGCCCCGCCGCGCGCAGCCCGTCGCCATGCGCAGCCAGAAGCCGCGCGCAGCCCACAGCCGCGCGCAGCCCGTCACCACGCGCAGCCAGCAGCCACACGCAGCCCACAGCCACGCGCAGCTCTTAGCCACGCGTGCCCTGCCAGTGTGCCGCCCGTGAGCCGCGCGCCTGCCTGTCTTAACCTGCCTGGAGAGCCTGCCTTGAGTGCCTGCCTGACAAGAGCGCCTGCCTGCCTTGAGTGCCTGCCTGCCTTGAGTTGCCTTGCCTGCACTGCTACTATGGCGACGCTTAATGTGCTCGAGTTCGATCCTGACGGTCGCCCAGTAGAGTTTCCCACCTGGCTTGACGACCTGCAACTGTTCCTTCTGACTGATGCCAAGGACGGTGTTTCCCTGTTCGATTACGTGTCTGGCACTGCCGTTGCTCCTGCTGACACTGAGACTGCTCTAGCCCGCTCCCAGTGGCAGACCCGCGATGCTGCTGCGCGCCTAGCTATTCGCAACCATCTGCCGATCACAGAGCGAGCGCATTTTAGCCAGCACAAGACTGCCAAGGCACTGTACGAAGCTGTAGTTGCCCGCTACTCTTCCCCGGCCACTGCAGCCCTCGGTCGACTTATGCTACCCTACCTGTTCCCCGACCTGTCCTCGTTTACCACCGCTGAGGACCTCATCTCTCACCTACGCGCTAGTGACACTCGCCTTCGTGCCGCCCTTCCAGCCGAGTTCCTCGCAGAGAACCACCCCCCGATGTACTTTACTCTCTACTTCCTCATCACCCGCCTCCCTGACACTCTTCGCTCAGTCAGGGATCACTTCCTCGCCCTTGACCCCCATTCTCTCACTGTCGACGACCTCGAGAAGCACCTCCTAGCAGCCGAGAAGAACATTCTAGCTGTAGGTGCTGCTCGTGGTACTCCCCGCACTCCCCTCTTTGAGGGGTGCTCCCCCTCCCCTCTTACCTCCTCCTACGCCTCCGCAGCTGCTGCTGTCGACCTCCTCGGTGCTGAGCAGGTCGCAGCTGCTTCCGCTCCTAGTGGGAAGCGCAGCGGCTCCAAGGGAGGCAAGGGTGGCAGGGGTGGCGGACGTGGCGGTGGAGGGGGCGGTGGTGGAGGCGGCGGGGGAGGTGGAGGTGGTGGGGGTGGTCGTGGGGGTGGAGGTGGTAGTGGGGGCGGTGGTGGTGCCGGGAGCGGTGGCGGCGGCGGTGGTGGCGGAGGGGGGAGTGGTGGTGGCAGCGGTGGTGGGGGCTTGGGTGACACCCGTGGTGGCCAGGGGCAGCAGCAGCAGCAGCGTCAGCGCCAGACCCCCACTTCCCAGCAGCTTCTTGACTGGTATGCCGGGCGTGGGGCGTCTGGGGGTCCTGGTCGCTGCCCCTATATCATTCGCACAGGTCCCCGCACTGGTCGCCAGTGCACAGGGTTTCACACTGAGTACCGCTGTTTTGCTCGACTTAGCGACGCCTGGCGCGTCAAGTTTCCTGATGATACTGAGTTCCCCAACTGGGCAGACCTGCTTAGGCGTGATGTACCTATCTTTGATCTTGACTATGAGGCTATTCTTGCTGCCATGTATGCATTGACTGTTAGTGCTGAGGGTGACTGCTACTTGTGTGTGCCGCCTGACCCAGGTATATTCCCAGGTATAGCGCCTGTGGCACTAGGTGCTTGTGAGTCTGCTCCCCCTGGTACTGCGTCCGCACAGGCCTTGCACACCTTCACACTTGACTCTGGTGCTTCCCGCTGTTTCTTTCGCGACAGCACCACAGTCACTCCCCTCCCTGCACCTGTTCCTGTCCCACTAGCTGACCCCTCTGGGGGCCCAGTGCTTGCACGGTCTTCCACTGTGCTTCCGTGTCCGGCGGTCCCGTCTGGTGAGCTGTCTGGTCTCCACCTCCCCTCGTTCTCTACGAACTTGGTGAGCAACGCAGTCCTTCAGGATCATTGGGTTGACACCTTTACTCCTGGAGGGCAGCGTGTGGCGATCTGCACGTGCTCTCGGACCGGCCGCCACCTGGCCACATTCACACGTGCGCCTGGGTCCAGTCTGTACACCCTCACCACTGCGTCACGCTACACCCCTTTGTCCCCCCAGCTGTACGCGTCTGCTCAGGTAGCTACCCAGTGTGAGTGTCGCCGCCTGTCACACGACACTCTCCTGTGGCACCAACGCCTTGGTCACCCCTCCCTGCCTCGCCTTCGTAGCATGCACTCTCGCTACCTGGTCTCTGGCCTTCCCGAGTCTCTGCCTGCCCTCCCTCCCTCGCCTGCGCTGCCCTGCATTCCTTGCGTCGAGGGGCGGCAGCGCGCCGCTCCTCACTCCTCCTCGTTCCCTCCCACAGAGGCTCCCCTGCAGACTCTCCACATGGACGTGTGGGGCCCAGCCCGCGTCCGTGGACAGGGCCACGAGCGGTACTTCCTGCTGGTCGTCGACGACTACACGCGTTACACCACGGTCTTCCCCTTGCGCAGCAAGGGGGAGGTCCCTGATGTTTTGATCCCCTGGATCCGCGCTGTTCGTCTCCAGCTCCGCGAGCGGTTCCATTCGGACTTTCCTGTCCTGCGTCTGCACTCTGACAGGGGTGGTGAGTTCTCCTCAGACCTCTTGGCAGCCTTCTGTGCGGAGCACGGCATCCGCCAGACGTTCACGCTTCCGGCCTCTCCGCAGCAGAATGGGGTTGCTGAGCGCCGCATTGGCTTAGTCATGGAGGTCGCTCGTACCTCCATGATCCATGCGGCTGCCCCCCATTTTCTGTGGCCGTTTGCGGTCCGGTACGCCGCGCATCAGCTCAACCTCTGGCCCCGTGTCTCCTTGCCGGAGACCTCGCCCACACTGCTGTGGACGGGGAAGGTTGGCGATGCGTCGCGTTTCCGGGTCTGGGGTGCTCGTGCCTTTGTCCGTGATACCACCGCGGACAAGCTCTCCGCTCGCGCCACCCCCTGCGTCTTCCTTGGCTTTGTCCCTGACGCGCCTGACTGGCAGTTTTACGACCCAGCCTCGCGCCGTGTCTTTCCGTCTCAGGACGTCACCTTTGACGAGTCCGTCCCCTTTTACCGTCTCTTTCCCTACCGCACTGCCCCTCGCCCCCCACCGCCGCTCTTTCTCGCCCCAGGTCCTCCCCATGTAGACCCCCTCCCCGCGCCAGGTCCCGCTCCTTCAGGTGTTTCTCAGGTAGACCCTCCCGTGCCTGCGCGTGTTGAGGTCACTGGTGACTCAGGTCCTGCTGGGGGTGGTGCTGTCTTTGGGGGTGCTGGGCCTGGGGGTGTGGAGCGTGGGGGTGCTGAGCCTGGGGGTGCGGAGCTTGGGGGTACTGAGCCTGGGGGTGCGGAGCCTGCGCGTGAGGAGCCTGGAGGTCCTGAGCCCGAGCGTGAGGAGCCTGGTGGTACTGAGTCTGGGGGTGAGACGCCTGAGGGTTCTAAGTCTTCTGCTGCGCGGTCTCCTTGGAGTAGCCGCCTTCGTCCGCGTGTGCCTCTCACCTTCCAGCAGCTGCACGACTGGTACGGTCGCCGTCAGGGTCGAGCTTCTGGAGCTCGGGGCTCTACTGCTGGAGGTACTTCTGCTGACGTCACTGGAGCTAGGAGTGGTACTGGTCCCGGAGGTGCTCGTACTGGAGGTACTGGAGCTGCTGGGGCTGGAGGTGCTGCTGAGCCTGAGGGTGCTACTACTGGAGACCCTGGGTCTGGGGGTGCTGCTGCTGGAGTCACTGAGGCTGGAGACCCTGGGACTGGAGGTGCCGGTTCTGGGGGTGCTGCTGTTGGTGGAGCTGGTCCTGGAGGAGCTGACACTGAGGGTTCTGGGGCTGCTGGAGGTGCTGGAGCTGCTGGGGGTACTGGAGCTGCTGGTGCTGGTGTCACTGCACAGCCGCGCCTGTTCTTTGCTCCACCGTCTCCGTCGTCTCAGCCACCGCCTGACTCTGTGCTTCGCCAGGTTCTTAGTCTCCCTTCGTCTACTGGTCTTCCGTTACAGCCTGGCTCACCG